CTCTCTCTGAAATCAATAAAAACATATTTAAAAAATAAGTAAAGTAAACCTTTGTTTAAAAAAAAAAAAAGATCTTGGATCTTTAGGATATTTTCTCTAGGGTTACTATGAATTGAAGGTAATACAAAGATTTAAGTGGAAGTACTTAAATCTCCTGGTCTGAACTCTTTCTAATAAAAGTAAATTTGTTGATGTGTAGTATACATAATAAAAAGCACACAAATCATATATGTAGAAACTGATGTATTTTCATGCAAAGCAACCATACTTATTACCATGTAATAAGTATCCAAGTCTGGAAACTGATTTGGGAAAACAGTACCCCAGAATTTTTTTTTGTACTCCCTTGCAGTTATTATTCATAATTTCTCCCCAACCAAGGATTACTTCTATCCTGAGTTCTTACATCATAGTTTTGCCTCTGTAGAATTTTTTTTATGGAATCACGTAAAAAGCTTTTTTTTTCTTTTCAGTCTGGCTTATGCTCAAAGTCTGAGAGATTTATTCATAGTTTTTACTCATGGCTGACTTTTTAAGAATATACATCTATCTCCTGTAATGGACACTTGAGTTATTTTTAGTTTTTGACTATTAAAATTATGCTGCTATGAACATACTTGTATATATCTTTTGGTAAACATAAATAGCCATTTCTGTTAGGTGAATCCTTAGAAGTAGGCTTGCTGGGTCATCTGGCATATATATTTTCAGCTTTACTAGATATTTTCAGTTTTCCAAAGTGGTTGTGCCATTTTATACCCCTAATAGCATTATATGAGAGTTTTAGTTGTGCTACATCTTTACCAACAACTGGTATTATATGTCTTTATTTTTATCATTCTGGTGGGCATTAGTGGTATTTTATTTGGGATTTAATTTGCATTCTCGTGATAACTAGTTTGTTTTTTTTCTGTGTGTTGGGTGCCTATGTCTTCTATTTTGAGGTGCCTATTCAGTCTTTTGCTAATTATTAGATTCTTTTTTAACATTTATAGATGTTCTTTATATGTTCTAGATTGGAGTCTTTTTTTAAGACTCAAATGTATCACAAAGACATATGTATTACAAATATTTTCTGGCAGTTTTTAGTTCACATTTTCACTCTTTTTAAAAAAAAATCCTCAGCCGAAGATATGTTTATTGATTTTAGAGAGGAAGAGGGGGGCATGTGGGGGGGGGGAGAGAGGAACAGAAAAAGAGAGAGAGAGAAATGTTGATGTAAAAGAGAAAAATGGATTGAACCTGCAACCTAAGTATGTGCCCTGATTGGAATAGAACCCGCAGCCTTTTTGGTGCTTCGGGTGATGCTCCATCCAACAGAGCTACCCAGCTAGGGCCTCACTCTTTTTTTAAAAAAAATTTTTCAATTACATTTACTTGTTCACATGAATATTCACGAATATTTGAAAACAAGTCTGTTTTCCCTTCCTCTATCCTTGCCACAATGTATTATAGATCTTAATAAACAAACTACTATATATTCATAAGAGGAAAATGAATTTTAAAATATGAAAGAGGTAAATAAGTAGCCAAAAAGGTAAACCATTAAAAAGAATGTATATTTTTTTAAGCTACTCATTCCCAACTTTTACTAAGATAAATTTCATCTATAAAAAGAAGGTAATTTATAAGTTGATCTTAACTCAAATTTTGACAGCAGCTGAATCAAAAATTGCAAAATTTTAACTAAATTAAAGCATTCAGACACAAATTATACTTTAAAAATTCTATCAACTTCAGCAAATAAAGAATGAGTGCATACTGATTTACATAAATCCTCTGGTCCTGAATACACTTTCCATTTAATGTACACACACATATATATTTTATTATTTTTTAAAAAGATATCTATTGATTTCAGAGAAAGGAAGGGAGAGAGAGAGAGAGATAGAAACATCAATGATGAGAGAGTCATTGATCAGCTGCCTCCTGCACGCGTCCTACTGGGGATCTCTAGCCTGCAACCCGGGCATGTGCCCTGACCAGGAATCGAACTGCAATCTCCTGGATCCTAGGTCGATGCTTAGCCGCTGAGCCACTCTAGCAAGCTAACATATTTTTAATCACTCTTCTGTACAGCATGGGTAGCTTCTAATGGGAATTAGCATATAGTCTGTTCTTGAAGACAATACTAGACAGATGCCTGATGCCTGGGTGATGCTGAATGTGACAAAACCAGCGAGACACATTAAGATATTTCTCTCTTTCGAGAACTGTCAAGTCAACTATGAAACAGTGAAATCCATAGTATGCTAGAGTATCTGCTAAGGTAAAGTAGGCTTTATCTTCAAGATATGAATTAAGATTCTTCAACATAATGCAGATATCATCTTTATTGGAGGTTTCATCTTCCTGAGTTACTCTGTGTTCTAACCGTTCATGAACTGTTGATTTTTCTTCTGCAGTGCACCCAAGCAAATAGTCTTTGTTGATTTGCTTGACTAGGTGAGCTGCTATACTAGTCAGTCTTGTTAGACTTGGCTCATTGTTTGAAGAACTGGAATCTGACACTGACCCTGAGGGCTGTATTTGTTCCCTTTACTCAGTCTGAGGGACTTCATCAGCAGCGCCAACTCTGCAGTGCCACCATCTTTCCGTCTCCAGGGCTTCACTCTCAATAATAGTGTCTTTTAAAAAAATTTTTTTAAATGCTTTTTATTGATTTTAGAGAGAGGAAGGGAGAGGGAGAGAGAGAAACATCGAACTACTGCCTCCTGTATGCTCCCCGGGGACTGAACTGGCAACCTGGGCAAGTACCTTGACCCAGGATCTAACCAGTGACCTTTTGGTGCATGAGATGACCATGTTCAGGCAACTGAGCACACTGGCCAGGGCAATAATAAATAGTGTCTTTTGATAGTCTTAAGATCAGTTTTTCAATTATTTTCATTATGGATAGCACGTTCTGTGTCTTGAGATCTCTTTCTGTGCCAAAGTCATGAAGATACTCCTCAGTATTTTCTAGAAGTTTTGTTTTGATATTTTACATTTTGATATAGAATTGTTTATAGTGTGAGGTGGAGAGGGTCATGATTCATTTTTTTGACATACTGGATGGCTATCAGTTGATCTGGTATTTATTGAAAAGACCATCCTTTTCCCATTTCAGAGTAACCTTTGGGCTAAATGAGGTTGCACTGATCTGATTATGAATTCTGTTTTGTTCCCTTGGTCTGTTTTGTGTATTTCTGTATCATTGCCCCACTGACTTGATTACTCTCAAGGTCTTGGTATCTGATGTAGTTACTATATTCCTTGATATAGGACTCTGGCTTTGTTCTTCTTTGCAATTGTCTAGACTACTGACTATTTAAATTGCCATAATAAATTGTAGATTCAGCCTTTTAGTTTCACAAAAGAAACCGGGTGGATTTTGAGATTTTGTGGAATTTATAGATCTTTGAGAAGTGAATTCATTAATAATATTGAGTCTTAACAACCCATAAATGTGTTATATCCCATTTACTTAGGTCTTTAATCTCTCTCAAACTTCTGAAGGTTTCAATGTAGAGATCTTACACATTTCATTTGATTTCCACCACCCCAGGAATTTGAAGCTTTTTGATATTAATGTAAAGGATATCATTTAAAAGAATGGCTTGTGAGTTTATAGAAATTTAATTGATGGTCATATATTGAATTTTTCACACATTAATTCGAATGTTTTTCACTTAGATTTTGTTTTTTCTTTCATTTTCTCCACATCTACAAATAATGACAGTTTGTTTTTCCTAGTCCTTTTGTTGTGGGTGTTGTTGGTCTTACTGTATTGGCTAGGACATCCGGCACAGTATTGAAATAGAAGGCGATAATGGGCATTCCTGTTTTGTTCTAAACTCGGGTATCATTATCATACGTAATAATGATATTCATTGTAGGTTTTCTTTGGCTATACTCACAGATTAAGGAAGTTTTATTTTATTCTTCGTTTGCTAAATGTGTTAATCATGAATGAGTTTTGAATTTTATCAAGCACTTTTTCTGCATCTCATAATGATTGCGTGATTGTTCTCCATTTTTCTATTATTGAGCTGAATTACATTGATTTTTTTTTTTTTTGAATGTTTAAAACCGTTGTTTTGCATTCAGGAGTAAAATTCCATTTGGTTGCAATGTGTTCTTTTTATATATTGGTTGCTCATATTTTGATTATGAATTTTTTAATAATACATTTTTTTTAGTCCTCACCTGAGTATGTTTTTATTGATTTTAGAGAGAGAGAGTACACATGGAATTGAACCCACAACCTTTTGGTGTATGGATGGGCCACACTGGCCAGGGCCCAAAAGTCCATTTAAGAAAATATTGTAGAAATCTCTAATTACCTGTCTTCCTCTAATTAAGGTTGTGCTCCTTTTTGTAGCTGTAGTATTCAAGTTGAAATTATTATAACCTGAATACTTAAACATTTTCTAATGCATGTTATGTTAAGTAACCTTTAAAATTGACATTTAAAGTTCATTGTTTTATAAGTTGGAGATTAATCATAATGTAAATTATGATAGATTGTATTTGTATATTTAAACTCATGAACATTATTAAAGACGTTTTTATGTTGTATACCATGCTAAGGAGAAGGCAGTTCCTCTGTCTTCAGAGATTTTCCACTCTGTTAGACATAGGAGAGATTGTGTGTGTGTGTAGAATATAGAATACACACATACACATTCATTTGCAATGATTACAAGTACAAGGCACACTGAAATACAATAGCTATCCAAAAGTTCTATAGAAATACTGGCTGTTGAATAATTAACACTTTTGAATAAAGAAAGATAATGTTACAGAAATTTAGGGCAAGATTAAACAGTATAATTATTTGTTTAAATCTAGAATTAAAATTATAGACATGTTAAGCAAAATTGTATTCAGTAGTTCTTTTATATTAAAAAGTAGATAATTTCTTTTAATTGGTATTTGATTATTTTCATGTCACCTCTTAATCACTTCCTTGAAAGTATGTAATTGCTTTCCCCCCATTCTTTTCTTTTTTTGGGCAGCTCTTCACAGATGGAATCACAAATAAACTTATTGGCTGTTACGTGGGTAACACCATGGAGGATGTAGTCCTGGTGCGAATTTATGGCAATAAGACTGAGTTGTTGGTCGATCGAGATGAGGAAGTGAAGAGTTTCCGAGTGCTACAGGCTCATGGCTGTGCACCACAACTCTACTGTACCTTCAATAATGGACTGTGCTATGAATTTATACAGGGAGAAGCATTGGATCCAAAGCATGTCTGCAACCCTGCCATTTTCAGGTACATTTCTTTTTCTAAAATTTTTCCTTTTGAAAAACGAGTATTAAGTGCACTAAGAAAAGATATTTTAAAACTGCCTTGTCTTTCTTTGAGCAATTATTTGTTTAACTTAAAAACTTTCTTTAGTTAGGATTTTCTTTTGGCTAAAGAACCATTTTCTTTCTATCTGCCGTTCTAAGTGTTGACTCTTTGCAAAAGAAAGAACTACAAGAGGTTTTGAATTAGTCTGCTGTGGAAGAACAAGCCTTCCCTTAATTTTTTAAAGCAGTGCTTGACTCAAAGCATTTCACATTCTTTTTCTTCTTCTGTTTTTAAAAATATATCTTCATTGATTTCAGAGAGAGGAAGGAAGAGGGGGAGAGCGAGAGTGAGAGAGAGAAAGAGAGAAACATCAGTGATGGGAGAGTCATTGATTGGCTGCCTCCTGCATGCCCCCTCACTGGGATCCAGCCCGCAACCTGGGCATGTGCCCTGACCGAGAATCGAACCACAGTGTCCTGGTCGATGCTCAACTGCTGAGCCATGCCAGCCGGGCATTTCACATTTCTTATTACCAGTTTGGGTTTAGTTAGATGTCACATTTTATTTTATTTTGTTTTATTATTATTACTTTTTAAAATTTAAAAAAATATTTATTTTAGAGAGAGAGAGGAAAAGGAGAAAGAGAAATACCAATTTTGTTGTTTCCTTTATTTATGCATTCATTGATTGATTTTTTAATTTTTAAAAAAATATATCTTTATTGATTTCAGAGAGAGGAAAGGAGAGGGAGAGAGAGATAGAAACATCAATGATGAGAGAGTCATTGATCGAGCCCACAGCCCGGGCATGTGCCCAGACCAGGAATCAAACCCTGATCGCCTGGATCCTAGATCGACGCTCAACCACTGAGCCACGCCTTGCCAGGCCATTGATTGATTGTTGTATGTGCCCTGACCAGGGATAGAATCCACAACCTTTGCATATGGGGACAGTGCTCTAACCAACTGAGCTACCTGTCTGGGACTAGATGTCACATTTTAAGGCATTGTTTTTAGGTCAGCTCAATATGCAGCCAACAGTCTGGACTGATTTAATCACAGCTTCAGTAAATGTTGATTGAACCTTAGATCAAAGTCCACAGTACTCTGTTTACTTTGGCTCATTCAGACTTATCCACTTGCCTGTGTTATGATTATAAAAAAGAGTATCTACTTTGAATATAAAAGGTGTTGGAATATATGTTTATGTTTGATCTAGTTTAGGGGAGGAAAAAATTCAAACAGCCCTTGCTCTCCTAGTAGTTTACAGTCTGTTAGAGACAATAATCTTTGGGGGGAAAAGTGAAATGGTATAACTGGAAGAAGAGAAAAGCTTTTAAGAATAGTACAGATAGTTTACTGTGGTATACTTGGGGAAATTAGGCAGTGTTTCACTGAGATCACATTTAAACTGGGCTTTAAAAGATGAAGCAGAGCATGGAGGAAACTGAGGCAGTGGGATGATAAGTAAAGATGAGTGGTACCAACTTAATGCTTAATTAGTAATTCAGTTTATGGTAAGTTATCATGATCTATTTTATTTGAACTCTTCTGTAACAATCAAGTATTGCAGAGACCTTCAGAAAATTTTTTAAAATTCATAGGTGTTTAGGAATTTTCCCATCAGGTATTTCTCTAAAACTTGCCTCTTGCTGGGAATCCTGGCTGAACTTAAATTAAAAACCACCCAGCAACAGACATAATGGGAGAAATACAGTTTAAAAGGAATTGTACATTTTCAAGAAGTGTGACTAAAAAACACTGACTTACAGTGCTGCAGGTATTGTAGTGGAACTGGTTCATTGTGAGCTGGAAGTAAAATGGTAATGTTCTCTTTTGGAAATCAGTAAGAAATCTAGTAACTTATGAAACAAAGTTATATGTTATGTTTCTGTTATGACAACTCACATTTAGGTATAACTAAGGTACACCAGCACTAATAAGTATTATGCTGCAATTGAAATGATAATTTTGAATATTGTCTAAAACAGGCAAAATTATACAGGGCTAAGAAAAAATCAGCTTGATAGCTGAACTGTAGCTACAATCAGGCAATAATTTGCTTATGTGAAAATTCAAAGGGAGTATGTAAAAATGAAATAAACTATGTTGGAATGGTAGGATTAGGGATTATTTTTCAATGAAAAAAATTCCTCTTATTGTTACAAAGCTCTTAAATCTAAGAAGTTCCAAGAGGGGGAGCAGTTAGTATTAGTGGGTATTTGAGAAATTCTCTGAGGCCTTAAGATTTTACACATTTGGCTTTACTGAGTATGGGATTTTGAAGTAGCATTTGCCTTGATGTTAGTTCAGTAAGACCTTATTTATTGAGACTAGGTAGATGATATGATAGTCATGAAATGTTTAACCTTGTATATATAACACAAAAATTAATGTTTAGTAAATAATGCTGTTGCCTTATTGGAGAGATTTTTTAATAGTTTTTTTTTCCTGTTGTGTATAAAAATTTGGTAATAGAAAACAATTGAGTGTTCTAATCAAGTCTTTTTAAGAACTATATTCTTTTTTATGACCATTTTATTTAATTAAAATGTATTTCTTTTTAATTGAGTTAAAATACATGTAACAATTTACTATCTTGGTTATTTGTTAACTATACAGTTTATATAGTGTCATAGTATATAGTGTATATATGTAGTATATAGTATATAATGTTAAGTACATTCATATTGTGCAACCAACCTCCATTGCTCATTTCATCTTGTAAAACTAAAATTTTTATGCATTAAACAAGTTCTCATTCTCTCCTACTCCCAGCCTTGGCAGCCATCGTTTTACTTTCTGTCTGTATAAATTTGACTGCTCTAGGTACCTTCTGTAAGTGGATTCATGCTTTTGTCATTTTTGTGACTGATTTATTTCACTTGGCATGATGTCTTCAAGACCCATCCCTATTGTAGCACATGTTAGAATTTCCTTCCTTTTTAAGACTAATACTCCATTTTATGTAAATGTCCATGGATGGACATTTGGGTTGCTTCCGCCTTTTGACTACTGTGAATAAATACTGTTATAAACACAGGTGTGCAAATATTTTTTGAGATCCTGCTTTCAATTCTTTTGGGAATATAACCAGAAGTGGAATTACTGTATCATATGGCAATTCTATTTTTAATTTTTTGAGGAACTGTCATACTGTTTTCCATAGCAGCCACAACATTTTGCATTCCACTAACAGTGCACAGGGATTCTAATTTCTCCATGTCCTTGCCAACACTTAATTTTTTTTTTTTTATAGTACCCATCCTAATGGCTATGAGGTAGTATCCCATTGTGGATAATTGATTTTATGTTAGTAAGATTTCCAGTCAATAGTAGGCTATTAGTAGTTATTTTTTCGGAGAGTCAAACGTTATAAGCAGATTTTCAGCTCCATGGGAGGTCAGTACCCCTAATTCCTGTGTTGTTCCAGGGTCAACTATATAATGTATTTAAGTTTTGGGGGAGTCAAAGTTATCTGTGGATTTTCTGTTGTGCAGGGGAGTCCTTCTCAGTGCCCCTAATTGCTGCGTTGTTGAAGGGTCATCTGTAAATAAAAGTTCTTATGGCATATTTCTGGTCACAGAAACAGCGCAAGTCTTCTAAATAATGACCCAAAACACTTCTAATATTAAGCACTGAAATAAATGTGAGCTATACATACATTTAAGAAAGATCAATAAAAATAAGATAATTATTTTCCAACCTGCTTATTCCAGTTCAGGGTTGTGGCTGTCCAGAGCCTATCTTGACAAGGCAGGAACCCACCCAGGACAGAACACCATTTCATCACAGGGCACACTCACACACCTATCTTCATTCACTCAGATGGGGGCAGTTTAGACATACCAGTTCACCTAACATGCACGTCTTAGGTGGAAGAAAACCAGATTACCTGGAGAAAACCCATGCAGACACAGGGAGAATGTGCAGGCTCCACACAGATAGTGGCCCTGACTGGGAATTGATTTTTATTTTTCTTATCAACATTGAATGAAATGTTATTTGAGAACCTCCTATACACACTGGTTTGATAACTGTAGCTTTGTAATAAGCTTTGGAATCAGGAAGTATGAGACTGCCAGCTTGATTCTTGGTTTTCAAGGTTGTTTTAGCTATCTAGGGTTTCTTACTCTGTTTGATAATTAGGATGGATTTTCCTATCTATGCAGAAAAATGCTATTGGAATTTTTATGTAGAGTGCATTGAATCTATAGATCACTTTGAGTGCATTGACATCTTAACAATATTAAGTCTTCAGCCCGTGAACATGTGTTATTTTTCCACTTATTTGTGTAACTAAATTTTTTCAGCAACGTTTGTAGTTTTCAGTGTTCAAAGTCTTTCACCCCCTTGGTTAGGTTCATTCCTAAGTATTTTATTATTTTTGATGCTATTGTAAATGGAATTGTTCTCTTAATTTCCTTTTTGAATTGCTCACTGTTAATGTAGAGCTGTAGCTAATTTTTCTGTGTTGCTTTTGTGTTCTGCAACTTTATTGAATTCATTTATCAGTAAAAACTATTAATTTTCTTAACAAAGCCATTCTTTATAAATTGCATGTTTTGATCAAGCCCAATTTATCAAAATTTTAGATGAGTATGGAACTTGTAATTAGGTTTTATTTAATTTTTAAAGTCTGTTAGCAAATTCTAGTTTTTTAGTATATAGGTGCTGCGATTATAATTGAACTATATTTGTTATTCCCATTAGGATATTTGTATTATAAATAGATTTTCTTTCTTGTTAATTTTTTTTAGCCTCACCTGAGGATGTTTATTGTTTTTAGGGGGGGCAGATGTGAGAGAGAAACATTGATCTGTTGCTTCCCATATGCGCCCCTACCAGGGATAGAACCCTCAACCTAGGTATGTGCCCTAATTGGAAATCAAACCTGCGGCCTTTAGGTGTATGGGACGACACTCTAACCAACTGAACCACTCAGCTGGGCTCTTATTAATTTTTCTACAGAAAAGATAGACCAGATAGTTCTAAGACCTGTAGAAGTTCACTGAATTCTGTTCTTTGAGAAGAGGCTTGTAGAAGATGTCTTTCTTGTAAAAGAGCAGGCAGTATTTCAAATGGCCAGTTTGTTTTTGTATAGCAAGGCATTAATTTTGTTACAATTCTTACTGTATGAGGTTTTTAAAAATCCAAGATAGATTTTAATCCATCTAACAATATACCTAATAGTGGAGAATCCCTTGGTCTTACAGTAAGTTTCTAAATGTACTCTGAATTTGGTGCTAAGGTATAATGACTCTTAACTCATCAAATGCCTGTTTAAGTACCTCTTTTAAGTGCTGAGTTCTAGAATACATGGAAGAATAGGCATGGTCTTTGTTCCTTGTAGGGTAACTTATGGAAATATTTATCAATAGTATTGACAAAGCATTCTCAAGTATTACTATTATTATTTCCTGTTATTCTGTTTTGAATTTTATAGGAAAATGCTATAAAACATTTTAAATAACACTCTGTATTTTTACCTATTAAACACAATACAACTATTTAATATTAATTTTGCCCCTTATATAATCTAATTTTTTTTTTAACAATGCACCTATGTAGATAGGGCAAATAGAAGATCATAATTAATGCTTAAGTTTTGATGCAGATTTTTTGAAAATATTAATTTTGCTATAGTAAGGTCATTAATATTTTAGTTTGTTTTCTATTTCAGTAGGTATATATTACCTTATGCAGAAATGTTTATTTTTAAAATTTCATATAAAAGTAACTCATTTTTATGTGTAATATCAAATTTGTTGAAAGGAGAAAATTATATTTGGTAAATTTTTTATAAAAATCATTATCATTTGGAAATTTTGCTTGTTAATCAATAGTTTTTGTTCATTTACTATTTCTATTATAACTAGTAGGAAATTGATGTGAAATGGGAAGTTAGTCTACAAGATCTTTGTGTATTGAATATGAAGTTCATATTGTCATCAATTAATTTTTTTAATAAGAATCATCCTTATTCTTATTTTTATATATATGTGTATATATATTTTAATTTCAGAGAGAGGAAGGGGGAGAGAGAGAGATACAAATATCAGTGATGAGAGAGAGTCATTGATCAGCTCCCTCCTGCATACCCCCCACTGGGGATTGAGCCCACAACCCAGGCATGTGCCCTGACTGGGAATCGAACCGTGACTTCCTGGTTCATAGGTCAACGCTCTACCACTTAGCCACGCTGGTTGGGTATCAATTAAATTTTTATGTAATTTTTTTTCTGGTATTCAGTGGCATATAATTTTAGATTTGAAGGAGAACTTAAAGGTTATGACATAAAACAGCAATTTTGTTCTTGTAAGGAAACTGAAACTCAAAGAAATTAAATAGTTTGTTTTAGTTCAGATTGAAAATACAATGGCAAAGTCAGAATGGAAACCTTCTAATTCTGTGCAGTGTTATGGGGGCTATTCTGTAGTGAAAAGGGCTTGGCTTTTGCATCACATAACCAGTTCAAATCCTGGCTCAGCCCCAGTTAACCACCTTTCTTCCAGAAAAGTCAGGGCACTCAAAATTTGTAGGTGCTTTCTCTTCTAGCAGCTATTCATATTCAACAGATTCCATTAATCTATAAGAGCCCCTTGGAATTGTGGGCATATATATTACTAATTTTTGAAGTATTTTCCATAGAATTGTCATTCCAGTTACTCCCAGTTAAATAACTTAAAAGCATACAACTTCTGAGACTATATTTTATATTTTACAAATGAGAGTTTCATGCAAACTCTGGGATAAAACTTATAAAAATTGACATTATTTATTTTTAAAAATCACAGTAAATACTATTTGTTGGTTTTAAATATCTGTTCTAATATGTGACTCTTCTCCTGCATCACCAGTCTCATTTGTTCATTAAACAATTCTAGGACATAATGTTCTCTTGACATAGATTGCCCCATGAGTTTTATGTAACACGGATCATACCTTTCTTCAGACCTCTTGTCCCAACTATATCCTTAAAGTTTTAAAACTGTTATTACTGGCTTAAATTATATGTGTGTCTCACACATGTATATATGGGTAAATACATACGCGTGTGTGTGTATATGTATTTGCCCTCTCCTTTGTTTTGTTTTTATTATCATCTGACTTTTTCTGAAGTTTCTTGTTGCTTAAAGTAGTACCATACATTCCTTTGGGCCTCTGCGTATACGAAAGAGTAGCATAAAAAGAGATTTCTTTTTTACTGTATTCTTGTTAGACATGAGTATATGGTCTTTGGGAAGGTCAGTCAAGTAGCAGTTATTTAATTTATATAAAGAGTTTTTTGTTTCCTAATTTGTTTGAGAGGTATGAACCAAAGCACATATACCTTAAAAGGTTACAGATTTTAATATTTTGGTAATGCATTAGGACCCTTGATTGAGGATGATAAGTTGAGAATTCAGACTGACTTAAAGAAGAAGGAATTTATTGGTACATATAACTGAGAATGAGTTCAAGCAAGGATGGATCCATGGGCTCTAGATCAGTATCATTATGAATATCGCTCTTTAAAAAACAGTCTGTGTTTGTCTTTTTTTGTTTTGTTAATCCTCACCCGAGAATATTTTTCCCCATTAATTTTTAGAGTAGAAGGGGAGGGTGGAGAGAGAGAGAAACATTGATGTGAGAGAGACACATCAATTGGTTGCCTCCAGCGTGCCTCCCGACTGACCCAGAGTTTGAACCTGCAACCCAGGTACCAGCCCTTGACCAGGAATTGAGCCAGAAACCCTTCAGTGCCCGGGCTGATGCTCCAGCCACTGGGCCACGTGATGTATTTTCCGGCAAACGGCAAACTTTCTTAAGAGTGACAAGTACAGTGATCAGCAGTTGCAGGCTTATCTAATCAGTATTCCCACCCCAGGTTGTGGGGTAGAGGATTCTTCTTTTTCTAATGGCTTCAACCAAAATCAGAGTTTCAACAAAAGTTCTGGGATCAAGTCCTTTTGGCATAGCTTGGGTAATATGTCCTGAACCAATTATTGTGGCCCGAAGGATGGAATGAATGCTCGGGGCAAGTATGTGTCCTATCTTCACTCCTCAAGTTACTGTTGCAGATAAGACAGGGAATCAGGATTGAAATAAACTCTGTATGAATCACATGAACTAAAAATGAGGGGGATGGAAGTTTCTCCAAAGGAAAATCAGAACTCTTGTTATTGGAAACTAGGTAGATAAGAATATTCACTATAGTATAAAACTGTAATAAAGTTATGTAATCACAGGTTGGTGAAGGATTACTAGTGTTAGATTCCTGTGTGCTTTGGTTTGAGTGGTTCTCAACCGTTTTTGCATATTAAAATCATCTTGGTAGCTTTTAAATATCTTGATGCCCAGACCAATTAAATCATGAATTCTGAGGGGGCAGTACCCAGGGCTCTGTATTTTTTCTTTGAAGTTCCAAAGTTTGATTTCAGTACATAGTCAAGCTGTAGAGCATTATATTAGTGCCCTTCAGACTTTACAGTGGATTAGGATCACCTGGAGATCTTATTTAAAATGTAGAGTGCTGACCCTAGCCGATTTGGCTCAGTGCTTAGTGTCGGCCCTTGGACTAAAGTGTCGCAGGCTTGATTCCAGCCAAGGGCATGTACCTTGGTTACAGGCTCAATCCCAGACCCTGGTCAGGGCATGTGCAGGAGGCAACTAATCAGTGTCTCTCACATTGATGTTTCTCTCTCTTTCTCCCCCTTCCACTCTCTCTGTAAAGCAATGGAAAAAATATCCTCAGGTGAGGATTTAAAATAAAATAAAAATAAATAAATGAAATGAAATGAAATGTGGAGTGCTGGGGGCCCACCCTCACATTGTGATTGAGTAGATCTGAGGTGGGACCTCAGACATTTGTACATGGTGCTGTGTTGTAGGTCATAGAACTAATTTGAGAAGCATTACATTAGATTAGCATCTTGAAAATTTTGCCAGTTTTAAGTTCTTTAATTTGTGAATTACTGTTAAGTCATTTTTCCACCTGTTAGCCTATAGGCCATTTGGTAACTTATTTCTTATTTCTGCTTGATATGCTTGTTCCTCCATCATTTGCTGTACTGGGTTCTACAGAGACAAACGTAGCATGGCACAAGCATATGCAACTTCAAATTATTTTGAGGTTGCATCAAGAAGATTGATTCTGATATCATAGAATCCTAATGTTTGTTCAGAGAATTTGTCTTTAACAGTTATAGAAATTAACTCAACCCATCTATCCCTCTGGTTACCTTTTTACTTTAGTCCCTTTTTGACCCTTAACCTCAAAGACTCAAAATTAAAGTGACTCAGTGTAATTTAAATGTATGTATCTCTGATTAATTTCTAATATGTGCCTTGATATAGTTTATAATTGTGTATTGTTCTGCTGGTCCCAAACATTGTGTAATCAAAATAGGCCACCTACTTTCACACACTCAGCCCTTTTTGGACACAGTATTTAATTGCCATATTAATTGTAGTCTTCTTCTTTCTGATGCTTTAAGCATTTGTTTTCCCTCTCCTTGTGAGAGTTGACTTGCTAAATTATTTTGAATCTTACACGTTTATGGTAAAAAAGAAATTATGTTATAAAAAATGCACAGTAGTTGTTTTAGTTTACCTGTGGTTAGACATGAACTATATTTTCTTTTTATGCTGTTTTGTTTTTAAACAGGCTCATAGCACGTCAGCTTGCTAAAATTCATGCTATCCATGCACACAATGGCTGGATTCCCAAGTCTAATCTATGGCTAAAGATGAGAAAATACTTCTCTCTCATTCCCACAGGCTTTGCAGATGAAGATCTTAATAAAAGGTAAAATTATTAAAATTACTTTTACATTTGAAATGATGTTCTACATTGCTTTGTTCTGTATTGGGTCTCAAAGATAATTGAGGTTTCTGTGTATAAAATTTGGTTTGGTTTATCTCTTTGCATTGAAATAAAATAAGCATCGATTCATTTCACTTTCAGATGACACTACAGAAAAAAACCTCTCTTTTTCTTCCCCCAGATGACTAAAAAAAAAACCCCAAACCCAATAACAACAAAACCCTACAAAAGCAGGGGCTATGGGAATGGGCAGAGGTGAGGGCCAAAAAATAAAGATGGAGTATTTATTTGAAAGTAACTGAAATATAAAGATAGCTGTGAATAGGTATGTTTTTGCATAGTATGAGTTGGCCATTTGAGACTTTTTAAAAAAAATCGTTTTTGTTCACAGCTGTTTTGAATAGGCCTAGAGGTCTACATTGGGACAGCATAGTAATATTGGAGTGTGAAAAAGTTTGGATTGTCTTAGTTTACTATGACTATTGAAGTTCCATATAATGAGGTTGAAAATGAATTTACTAGAGTCTTACTCAGATTTGTAGCTTGAAACTGACTACAGTATTTCATTATTTTCTATATAAAACAATTTGTAAATAAGTTTTTAGACTTAATTTATATGAACATATTTTTACATAGTGTGATTAGTAGTATTAGCACAAACATTGGAAATTTTATTTTGTTCTTTATATCTAAAACATACATGAAAACTTCAGCTTTCGTATTTATGAAGTCTTTAACAACAACAGACATATAGGGCCTATAGATTTTTTTTCTTTTTAAACAATTAAGGAAAAATAGCTCTATTCTGTTGAGTATGATTATTTCTCTGATTAATTTGAGTCACTTTTTGTAACTTTTTTTTCTGTTTATTTTTGTTGTTTTTTTTTTAGAGAGAGTGGAGGGAGGGCAGAGAAAGAGAGAGAGAGAGAGAGAGAAAGAAACATTAATGTGAGAGAGACACATCGATTGGTTGTCTTCCGAATGTGCCCCAAACAGGGCCAGGGATCAAACTTGCAACCCAGGTATGTGCCCTTGACTGGGAATCAATCCCGAGACAGAGCCAGTGTTGTAACCTCTGAGCAACACCGGCCAGGGCTGTGTAACTGTATCTGCAGGTTTTTGTCAAACTTTGAATTTGGTAAGGATATTATACTCCTTTAAGTGGGATAGGCAAATGTTTAGAAGTGTGTCCAGTGTGCTGGGGAAGTGACAGCATAAAAACAGAAAATTCTCTTGGAAATAGCTGTTTTATTGAAAGATTTTAGGGAAGACAACTTAAAAATAATGAAATAGATGGCAACAGTGAATGCAAGATTTTCTTGATTTTTATTTTATTATTTTTTTAAAGATGACAGTGGAGTTGAGAAGGCAGTATAGCATTGTACGGTTTTGGAGCACAAGACCCTGGAGCCATATTGCCTGGGGATTATATCTCAGTTCTGCCAGTTAACATTTAACCTTGGACAAGTTATCTCTTTCTTTTTTGTTTGTTTGTTTTTAAATATATCTGTATTGATTTCAGAAAGAAGAAGGGAGAGGGAGAGAGAGAGTTGAAACATCAATGATGAGAGAGTCATTGATCGGCTGCCTCCTGTACACGCCTGACTGGGGATTGAGCCCACAACCTGGGCATTTGCCCTGACCTGGAGTTGAACCCAGTCTCCTGGATCCTAGGTTGATGCTCAAAGGCTGAGCTACGCCTGGCCGGACAAGTTGTCTATTTCTTCATCTGTAAAATGGAAAAAAATAAGAGTGGTATATTTACCTTTGAGGGTTTTTGTGAGAATTAATTGAATTAGTATTTGGAAGTAGAACAGTGCCTGGCCATTTAAGTGCTAAATAAATGTTAGCTGCTATTTTTAAAATTATTATTCAAAGAAGGTTATTTAGGGTAAGTTTTGGGTCATATTTCCTAGATTCTTCAAGGTGTGCTTTAAATTCTTGATGTTAGTGATACTTTGGAAAAGCTGGAGATGTCCAGTGATTAATAACAGGGTGAAAGCATCTTGTCCCAAAAGATAATATACAATTAGAACATTGAAAACAATTACATTTCTGTTTGTACATGTTTGTAATTATCATGTTCATAATCCTTTGAATCCTGTTATTTCCATTTAACTATGTACTTTTAAAATAGATTCTTGAACCAAGTTATACCATCTAAAAAAGAACCTACAAGGATTACTTTTGGAAACTGTGTAGAGGAGAATGCAGTAGTGGGAAAAGTACAGGTAGCAACCACCTGAATAGGCACATTCATTAAAACAAATACAGTGTGCAGAATCTTTATTGTATTGTTAAATAGAAAAGTAAGGGGTAATTTGAGAGACTAGAGAACGCATGAAGAGAACTTATCTAAAAGTGTAAAGGGAAGAAGAGAAAGAATAAACTACCAGCAACTTTGTAAGCCTTTGATGGTGCTATTAAGGAATTTGTGCTAACACCCTATTTTTGTTTTATTTTTATCAAATTAATACAAATGTAGCATAATAAATAGTACAGAAGAGTGTAGGGTAAAGAGCTATGATCTCTAGGCCCGCTTGCCATACTACCTCTCACCCTTCCCAGTCTGACCACTCTGAGATAATACCTATAATAGATAATATGATAATTCTTTGTTATGACTGTTATATGATAATACAGTAATTATATGCTTACCATGTAATTAGTTGATTTATCAATGGTAGATATCTATTGAGTTTGAAATATGAATGTAGCTGATTTATACTGCATTTACCCTTCCAAACTTGAAATAGATGTTTTAGTTCTTTAATGGACTGCCTTTGTAACTTTAAGTAAACCTTTTTTTAAATTAAACCTTTAAACCTTTTTTAATTAAACTCTTTGTGTCTTGGTTTTCCCTCTATAAAATGGAGATAAATGTAAAACATTTAGAATACTGCTTAGTGTTAGCTATTAGCATATATTATTACTTTTTCTTTCAATTTGGTAGTGATACATTTTTTACTTTTCTACCCTGCAGTTTAACTATTGCTCAGTTTCGTTTCATGTTTACGTTCATTGTAAAGATTTTTCTTTATTCCACCTTTTGTAATAATTGGATTGTTTTAATTCAGGAGTGTGTGCAATTGAGTGGAAAGGACTTATTAAGTTAGATATTAATCCTTAATCCAACTTGAAAAAATGTCATTAATCTAAACAAGATATAACTCTTCTTTTAAAACTAAAAGGTTCCTAAGTGATATTCCAAGCTCTCAGATTCTTCAGGAAGAGATGACTTGGATGAAGAGGATTCTTTCCAACCTGGGCTCACCTGTTGTGCTTTGCCATAATGATCTACTATGTAAGAATATAATCTACAATGAGAAACAAGGTAGGTATTTGACCTTAGCAGTAAGTAGAGATGATTTCTTTGATGTTCTTTATGGTCTTTTGATCTTTGTCTCAAATTTAATTCAAATGCAAGGATTGAAAACATGCATGACGTCTTTAAATATTTTCTTTTAGGTTATAAAGTCATGGTAACTGCTAATTAGAATTATATATTCTCTATATATTTGTATAAAATGTTTCTTAGAATTGGTTTAATAGAAACAGATTGGTTCCTGTTAAACGAGTTTTAAATGAAAAATGATAAAAATGACTTTGTTTATATTTAACTATAAAACCTATTTGATAATTCATGGTTTGAAAATATACCTGCTTGTAATGGGGGTTATTGAAAAACCAATTGGTATACAACTGCTTTATAAATACAGAAAATTTCTCAGTGTTAAGGACAACAGTATTAGAAACAAATGTTTCCAGGTTTTTTGTTACCTGTTTGTTATGCTGATTTGTTAGGTAGTTTGATGCTAAGGAGAGAGCCACAGATGGAGGAAATGTTATTTGTGCTTGCTGAAATTTATACCTACTAAACTAATAATCAAGAAGATCTGGCAAATAGTTTTAACGTATTTTGTGGTAGACAGTTATACTTTTTGGCAAAATGTTTTCTGTGATTGTTCATATCTTTCTGTATTCAAATTCTCTGTTTTCATATTTAAGAAACACTTGTTTGTATTATTATTGGGTGAAGTGGTTTGAGGTTTGGTTGCTAAACAGTAGATGTCCTTCAGTACTTAATAGAAATTTAAAAATACTATTTTGATTGAAGGCTTAGTATTCAAAAAATCTGCTTGAAACTATGAAGCTATTGCATTTTATAGGAAGTCAGTTTTGAAGATAATCTAATTTATAGTTGGAAGATTGTTTCGAATCAAAATGTGCTGTTGTGAAGATACTAAAGCCAAATAATTATGATTAAATGGTCATATTTACATTACATTACTGTTTGTGACCATTATTAATAGATTGTAAGTTGAGACTATTCTAATGCAAAGGTGGTTAATACTTGTAACTTGCTTTACTTGAAGAAAACCACGTAAAGAACACTGTCAAGGGTGGTAGCCTGTAGCACCTATTTTCAAAAACGTTTTTTAATAACTTTTATATTATTTAAAGATATACTGAGCTAACATCTTTATTTTGAGTGTCTGGAAGTTTTTGTGTGGAATTCTTTATTTAAAACTTCAGTAGTACCCCCTAAAACATTATGTACTTGACAGTGTCCTTTAGTATTTATTGTCCATTTATTATATATAATTGTCATAGTATATAGGTACTACATTATATACTAGTAACCAAATCTCAATGCCATTTATGAGACAAGCGCATTAGTTATCCATTAAAGCAATGTATTAGCTTTTAAGTTCAGTGCAAGACTGAATAACACATTATTTTATGTAATGAAATTTCAAGTGAGGGACTTCATCTTACGTTTGAAGTGGACACTCAGCTTTATTTTTAACTGCAAGTTAATCAGAGAGAGTCTATTTCCTTTGGAATAGCATTTTAACTTTTCATGCTTCTATGTTTCTTTCGCATTTTCATTTCATAGAGCAAACTTGTTTATAAAACTAAAATAGAAGGGACCAAAAAAATCAGATTACTTTGTCTTGGTATTAAAAAGTATATTTTTATGTTTTAATTTTACCAGTTGCCTATCTAACTATTGATCAGTGATATGAAAAGTTCTCATACTTTGAAATAAAGTCTTTATGCTGCTGTTTGGCTTTAGGACATCAAGGTTGTTATTTGTTCATTTTACCAAGAGTTACCTAAATAATACTTCTGTGTCTAATGTTTTTCCTACACAGAAGAATACATTTCAAAGTTCAACAAATATAATTATTTTGATATATATTTTAGAGTATGCCCTTCTTCATAGAAGTCTTTTATGTACCATTTATTTCTTGTCTTTGTGGTTATGTGTGTGTGTTAGTTGTGGAGATGTTTTGCTGTTTTTACTTACCAATGGTTTTATACTGTTTGTTAGAAAGGCTAGTGTGGACTCCATGGCATCCACTTAAAAAAAATCAATTCTTATGTGATTAGTTGATAAGCATTAAGAAAATGTGGTTGGAATCTTAATCAGGTAAAACCTAACACTCATGTAAGTGGGGCTAGTAGCCTTTTCTGTTTATTATCATCTTATTCTGTTTCAAATTAGGAGCTAATCGTTTTGAATTAATATAACTGTATGACATATTTGTTTTTATAAGGAGATACCATGCCTCAGACTAAAAAATGTAAATTCTATAACTTTAGTAAATTTAATAGCAAAAAATAGACTGGCTTAGCAGTCCGAAGGAGGATAGTTAAAATGAGAAATAATGTATTGCAGAGTTCTTTACCTTCTTAACCAGTTACCTTGTACAGCATCTAAAAGCCAAGTGTTGAGTTGGGGTTAAAATAATTTCTACATAGAATAAATGATTAAGCTGCATATTATATTCAAAATGAGTTTGATTTATCATTTTTTAAGTTATTTATGTAATTTGAGCTCAGGGCCTCACCATTTTCTATCCACCTATGAGATATAAATATATAAAAATAACAATAAGAAAGCCAGAGGACTGGCTTTGACATCATCAAGCTTAGTATCTCTCTGTTGTATGTTTTAGATCCTTCATATATCAGAAGTGCAAATTGTAGTTAAACTTCACGAATTTATACTGGATCATCTTGACGTTTTCACGTGTATTTTCAACCGTAATAACTTAGATTTTGTATATTGTAACTAAATTTTAAAAATCTTTACATTAACTCTTAAAAGCAGATATATTAAAGCTTAGTAATAACCACGAGAAGTCAGAAAGAGCATAGATTTTTGGAACTAAGCACACTTGGGTTCACATTTCTGCTCAGTCACATATGGAAGTAAGTGGCATTAGATAAGTCATTTTATCTTTATATTAAGAGTTTAGATTTGATTCTGTGACAGAATCACGTAGGTTACTAGAAAAAAATCCAAGACCACATGAACAAGAATTTCTATAGGTGGGCTTAGGAATCTGCGTGTTTAACAGAGTTCCGGATGGTACTTATATTGTTGGTAGTCTAGAAATTTAGTTTGCTTTATTTTCAACTTAGATAATACCTACTTCAGGTGGTTCCTCATCATGCTTATCAAGTATATAGCACTGGAGTAGGTACTTGGCAGCTCTCAGTCACAACTATTACACCTGAGAGGAGCTGGCAAACTTTTTCTGTAAAGGGACTAGATAGTACATATTTTAGGCTTTGCATTCCATATTATAGTCTCTATTGCAACTGTGCAATTCTGTGTTGTAGCACAAACAGAGCCATAGGTAATACATAAATATGTGTGGTTGTGTTCCAATAAAACTTCATTTGCAAAAATAGGCAGTGGGCTGGCTAGATTTGGCTTCAGCGTACATAGTTTGCCAACCCTGTATTTTGTCTCTAGGATGCATTTTACAAAATGTATCTGATTCTGCATAAGTGGAAATGGCTACTGTAAGCCAGAAGGTTAACTGTGTCCTGTAACTAAGGGTTGTCTGCTGTAATCCAGAAGGTTAACTATGTCCTATAATTAGGGGAATTATGGCTCGTAGGTATGAGATGACAATTCAGTTTGTCTTTCAGTGCAACTTATAGATTCTGTTGTAACTACCTGGAATGATTAAAGTTTAAAAAATGTATATATGTATGTGTGTATGTATGTATATATTAGTACATATTCATATAGACATACACAAAGACTGTGAGCACCCTGCAGTTTATAGGCATTTTCACCTGTGAATGTTATAGGAATGGTAGGCATCACAGGAATGGTAGGCATCATGGGGAAAAGTACTGCCACTGCCTCTTCTCACCATGTCAGTTGACAGGACTCAGGAATAAGAGAGAAGAGTGAGCTTCCTTTCTGAAGTTGATGGTAGCTGTCAAGATTTTGAAAAGTTAGTCCCAGAATTTAGGTGGTTTTTAAACAGCAGCCCATTTCTGGCCTTCAGAGACATGACATCTTAAAAAGGTAAGAAAAGAATACTTAATGTTATGATGATAGGATTTGTTACATAATAAGAAAAACGAAAGCAGTGATTCTTGTTCCCGATCTGTAAGATAAGACTTACCAGTCATCTTTTAAATTCATCAATAATTAATTTAAAAAAGAATTTATACTAAGTAGAACAAATTGTAATACTGCTTATTGCCTGATTTTAAATTTATTATTTTAATTTTAGCTAATCCTTTAGCTGCTGACATGTTAGAAGTAATTGCTGAAGTTTTTTAGTTTGTTGTCTCATGTCTTGATGCTTTGTCATAATGTTAATTGGAGGCCGTTTCATTTTTCTCCCTCCTCATTTCTTTATAAAAGCTCATATAAAGAATTAATATCTATCTTTAAGTTTCAGTAATGGCAATCATTGATTATTTTCTGTGTCTGCAAAATACAGGAAGCTGAGTTACAGCTATTTAAGGAAATACAAATGACTGGAAATAAAAGATTTTTGTTTGTTTGTTTTTTAAATTTTAAATAAATACAAATTTATTTTTGTATTTAGTAACCTATATTTTCCAGGGTGGAATTTTTATGAAGGATAGTTAAACCTTGTTTTAACTTGTATTTCAGATCATAGTTGGCATAAAATAAGATATCCCTAAATAAGATAATAAAAAACTTAAATGGACTGTAAAAAGAGCTACCTAAAATAGTTAGTAGTTTAATATTTTTTCTGTACATACATTCAGTCCCTCTGTATATTCAGTCATATACTTGAATATGAATGTCAAAAATGCCACCCTTTGTTCTTTGTTATATCATGCTTATTCCCCCATACCCCACTTAAACATGTGTGTTATCATTGTGTGTCAGCATTCTCTGAAAAACCTTCATTTGTTCCACTAGTATTTTAATACTTCCTGTGTGCTAGGTATTGCTTTGTGGATTGCATGATGAAAGATGAAAGGGACCTACTGCCCTCCCAGGAAGCCATCTGCCATGTAGTGGAGGAGAGTCAGATCATGAAACACATTTACATTCAGAGTGATGAGTACTGTGGTGAAGTCTACTACTGGACGCCAGAGTGAGGAATGAAGGGATAGTTTCCCAGAGCAGAATATTTCTTCTTTCTGTGTAAGAGAGAAGCATTTTGCTAACATTAGTGTAATCATGGTTACACTTTATGTTCCTTTTTGCCTTACCTAAAAACTACAGAGGACATAGAGTAAATTGGAAAGATTTTCAGGTTCTTATATTGGTTATTTTACTTTTTATCTTTCTTCCTTTCTTAACAGTAAAATAAAGGAATCCAAACAAATGTCATGTGAATTATAATCTTAGTTAATATAATTTTTTTTGGTTTTAAAGTACTTTAAAAATGGGCTGCCTCTTTTCAGCTATACTGAGATTTGAACAATTTATTTAACTTAATAGTGTGTGGATTATATTACTGTGAAGATATACAAGAAATACAGTAATAAAAGGAAAAATTTAGCTTTTGAAAATTCAGAGTATGCTTTACCTATTGTTAGTCAGTGTGCTAACTAATAAAGATAAATATAGTCTTAGCCTTTAAAGCACTACTTTACTTTTTAGATGTCAAGGATCCCTTGAGAATTTGGAGAATTGAGAATCCTCTCAGAAAATGCATATACATATAAAATTTTATATAAAGTTTTAAGGAATATTCTTATTCTTTTCCACCCTTGAAATCCTATTAAAAATTTATGTTTTAAAGAATTAACAAAGATAAGCATGCCATGTAAACTATTAATTATTAAATAATGATGTCAAAGTTCCTCTAAATAATTGGAAATTTTAGAAATCAGAAGTTAAAATTTTAGAAGAAAAAAAAGTTTAGAATACTTTCTGTTAGTAGAAAGCATTTTGTAGTAATTTGATTTTTCTGGCACCCAAAATAAAGGAAGTAGACATCTTTAATTTTACTTTGTTGCAGAAGATTAAATTTAAGGTTGAGTTCCACTTTGTTTGCAATAGTTTGAAAAAGAATAGTTAATGCGGATTTAAATTTTTTTTCCTTTTAAGCTTTGTGTCTTGTAAAATGTGAGTTTGCCAAATTTTCTTCATCTGCTACAGATTAGGTATGCCATTGTTGCTGCCATGTGGCGGCGCACCCCGTGCTTCTTAAACGCACTGACTGGAGGTTTATCGCATCACTTGTTCACATGCACGGAGCCTGGTAACAGCCTCATCTGTATCTTCTTAGCTTCATTTTCTTATTTTTAAATTTTCATTATTTATAAACTCGACATAGCATATAAAAATAAAGGCTAGTTTTAATGAATTAATGCTACTACAAAAAGTCATTGCTAAAACATTCATACTGAGACAGATTTTAACTTTTGTTAAAATAAATGGTCTATGCTTTATTTAAATTGTATTTACCAGCAGGCATGTTTTACCTGCCATTGTAACTATATTTGCCAAATTCTAAATATAATTTTGAAAATTGAAATAGAAACTTTTGTTTATGTGGCAAAAGTAAGCTTCAGGACTGGGCTGTGTATTTTTATTGGCATATAACAGTTAATATGAGCTTTACAAGAATCTGTGTTTAAAGAGCTAAAACAATCAACAGCTGCAATTAAAACATTTTTGTATTAAAACTGTTTGGTTAGTTCAGTTGTGCAACTTGGTAAATCTTGAATCCTGATTTCTTGAAGACCAACTGGATAGGTATCTCCCAAATCATTGTATTTAAGTAACTCTTACCTATTTATAGTTTTGTAGAGAATTCATCTTAATCATTTTGAACTATCATTTTTTTCTCCTAAAAGTGATGTTTATTGTAAAGAATTTAGAATACAAGGGAAAAAGGGTCATTTGCCACTGGTAAATGAAACCAGGTGAAATATTTTATTTTGGTTTATTTCCATTCACCGTTTTCCTCCCCCGTGCATTATTTGTTTTTATTTTCTCTCTTTAGACATCGTATTTTAATAAATTGGGTCGATACATTTGCTATTTTATATCTTTTTTTCATATAACATTTCTAATTCTAGTCATTAAGTCATCTTTGAAAATGAAAATGAGAAATTTTTTCCATGGCTGTAAAGTGTTTTATCATGACGGTGTGATCTTCACCCTCTCATTCCCAATGGTAACCAAAAAAAAAATTAAAAACATGTTCTGACTTTCCATTCTGCAATTTAGTAAAGTGATTTGGTTAACTTTAAGACTTTCCATGGGATGTTTTGTTGTGCATTCAAGAATATAATACTTGCTGTTGTTGAATTGCAGTGATTTATTGTAGTTACCAACATTTTAAAATCTTTTAAGTATTTTGTCAATATACATATAGATTTTAATAACTGGGCTTTGATACTTTGATGATTCTCAGTTACTTTACTCTAGACTTGACTATTATTTATACAAGTTTAAAATTATATTAAATGCAATTACATTAAAAATGTATAAAATACTTCATTTGCCGTGACATTTTTGTCATAAATTCTGTTTCTCTGAGTTTGAATATGATCAACATACATCCCCAAATTAAATATATATATCTCTGTCAAGACATTGTAGATCAAAAGATCTTTTTTGGGGGGAAATGCCAGTGTGTATAAGACCAGGAATTTGTTTATTACCTTACTATGAACTATCTTTAAAAGACAGTGTAACTAGGCATGTGCTTATTTATTTTCACAATTGCCGCTTAGAAACTCTTCTTACAGGATCTCTGTTTATGTTTCAATTTTAACTGTTGGCCCTTGTAAGTCTTCGAGATTGTGATCCCTGATGTAGACAGTGACCCATTTAGATTCTCTCTTTCTCTCTCAACTTTTTCTCTTTTCTCTTTTTAAAAAACACACATATATCTTTGTCGAGTCAAAAATTCTCTATAGTACTCAGTGTACCTTTGCTTAAAAAAAAAAAAGATAAAATAACCACTTTCATGTTGCTCAGGTATGTATTGGAAACCTTAGTTATATGGCATTCCACGAAAATGTAAAAGTTGGATTGCCACTAAATTCTTTAATTAGGGATATTGTTAAGTTGATCAGCAAGTGTTAATAGCATAACTGCAGCATTCACAGAATTCAGGTCTTTCAGAGTTTATATTTCATTCCAATATGTAGATTAGCTTGTCAGTTCACTCTTAGAGTATCATAGATTGCTTTTGTTGTTAAAATTGCTTTATTAACAATTTCCAAAGATAGTGTTAATTTCTAATTAAACTTGAATTTTTAAGTAACTGATGCCCCCATGTGGTGAAAGACCTTTTGCTTTTGTTTGAACTTAGAGAATGACTATACAGTATTTTGACTTTTCTTGATTATAGTGGACATTAATGTTCATAAAGAAGCTGTTGACAATGATACATAATTTGAATTTTGTAAAGCTCATTGCCATAAATTCACAGCCTTACCCTGTATTGTCTCAGAAGTGCATGTAACCAAGCACATACAATGAGACAAAATATTGGAAGCTATTTAATTACAAATAGCTTAGGAATTTTCTGGTCTTACATATGATTTCTTATGTCTTTGTTTTTGTGTCTCACATAGGTGATGTACAGTTCATTGATTATGAATATTCTGGATACAACTACCTGGCATATGATATCGGAAATCATTTCAATGAATTTGCAGGTAAAACTCAGGGCTTAACTAATGGAATAACATATATAACTTTGATATGACCCTTTTAGAATTGTTTTTTCCCTTTAAAATAGATAACCTAGGAAGGGGAGTAAAATTCTTTTCACTTTTTTCTGACCTTTGTTCTTTTTTTGTTTTTGTGTATTAAGGGAGGACAGAGGAGACTTCTTCATTAATGTTGTAGGGAAATAAATAATTATTGTGGCTTCTATTAAGACCCAACACAGTGCAAGGTGCTTTACAAATCTCATCTCACCTTATTGTTTTCTCTATAACAATTTAAAAAAAAAAAAAAAAAATCTCTATTGATTTCAGAGAGAGGAAGGGAGAGGGGGAGAGAGAGAGCTAGAAACATCAATGAGTCATTAATCAGCTGCAGCCTGCAACCGGGGCATGTGCCCTGACCGGGAATCGAACCCCGATCTGGATCCTAGGTCGATGCTCAACTGCTGAGCCACGCTGGCTGGGCTACAACAATTTTTAAGTTAGGTAATATTCCCAGTGTTCGGATGAGGGAAGTAACTCACCACTGTCGCAGTAAAATAGAGATTTGAAACCAAGTTTTAAAAATCATTTAAAAGCCTTTGCTATTTGCATTCTGTACTTGGGCTTTTGGAATGTTGGTTAACTAAAAAACTTGAGAATTTTTTTTTTGGTCTTTGGCTATGAGTAATTGAGAAGCTGGTCATTTTTGCCTCTGAAAATTAATCTGTTAGTACCATCAAGTATAAAAGTTTTATTTTTTTAAAATGTAAGTGGAATTAATTTAAAATACATTTTATGACTATATTTAGAAACATGAAGTGCTCTAAAACTAAGAAGAGGAAATTCCCCTGGATGGTTTACAACTAGTAGGGATTTTCATTTCTGAATTTGTATTTGTATACATTCATGCATTCATGTATTTGAATATACTTTAGGTTACCAGACTGGAAAAAAATTCTGGGGGAAAAGTTTCAGTTTATATGTATTCAGTAATTTCCCTACACCAAGCTTATCATATATGTGCTATATCTCTACATATGTACTGTACATATTTCCACATCTCTGTAGGAAGGGAAAGCAGCTATTTATATAATGAAATATCACTGTTTTAGTATTAAGGATAATCACTGCTGTGGATATGAAAGAGGAAACTCCACTGATTTAATATGATTTTGTGTAGAAAAAAATTAAGCTAACACTTGAAGTTAGGTAGAATTTGCATTTGCAGATGGAAGATAAAGGAGGGTACTGCAGGAAGAAGGAAGAAAACTTCAAAATGACTGTACTTATTTTTGTAGGATATAAAATTCAGGAAGGAGAATAGAAGGTTGTAAGACCAGACAAGTAAATTTGGACCAATTTACAAAGAACTTTGAATGCTAGGCAAAATTTGTATGAACTTTATCTTCTGGGTTAGTTTTTGTAAACTGCAGACGATGAAATCAAATTATTTTAAAGCAAGGACCAGAAAATTAATAGAAAGTGTCCAAGTTGGAAGGTATAGTTAGGGTAAATGTGGTTTGTGAAACTTAGTATCAGGTGTGTGTGTATGAGGTCTCAATATAAAATGTATTTCTTAACCCTGTGAGTAATGGTCAAAAAAGATTTAGAGCCATAGTTCTAGGAAATGCTCTAAATATTAGTGTGCACAAGAGTCTTCTGGGCTGCTTTGTAAAAAGAAGATTGTGTGCTTCTGATGCAGGTAGTTAAGCTTCACACTTTGAGGAAAAGTTGAAGCAATGAGAATTGATTATTGTGGTCAATTGTGCATTCAAACGTAAGTTGTAGTACGTCATGATTGTTTATTTTATTTTTTCTGTAAATTATGAGGATAGTAAGAATTATTAAAGTATACATAAGAGAATGTGTTTTTAAAATTTTCATTTCACTTTTTTTTCACTTTAGGTGTGAGTGATGTAGATTATAGTCTCTACCCAGGTAGAGAACTACAGGGCCAGTGGCTGCGCTCTTACCTTGAAGCCTACAAAGAATATAAGGGCTTTGGGACTGAAGTTACTGAAAAGGAGGTAGAAATACTCTTCATTCAAGTCAATCAGTTTGCATTGGTAAGTTTAAATGTAAACAGCAAAAGATTCTTCATATGATTTAAAAACTTAAAATTTTCATCTTATAGAACAGTTTCTCATTTTGAATTTTGTTCAAAATAATGACAAAATACAATTGTTTATAATTCTTCCATTATAATACTTTTTTAAAAAAAGAGTCTATTGATTTCAGAGAGAGAGAGAGAGAAAGAAACATCAATGATGAGAGTCATTGATCCGCCGCCTCCTGCACGCCCCCCACTGGGGATCAAGCCCGCAACCCCTGCATGTGCCCTCACCGGGAATTGAACCAGGATCTCCTGGTTCAGGGTCGACACTCAACCACTGAGCCACCTGGGGTGGGGCAAGGTTTGAGGAGATTTTAGACACATTGTTTACAGACTTCGGATTATTTTTAAGTAAAACAGTTATATATAGGGGTTTTTAGAAAACAGTTTGTGGATTCATTTTTAGCTGTCTCTTTACCATATAAAGCTTTGAACTTTTCTTTCAAAGGAAAGAAAGTTCAGCAAAGCGGAGAGCCTACAAATTAACGGAGATTCTTACATATCTATAACTTTCAAAATTGAGGGAAATAGTATAAATAAGTCACAGAATCACAGGATGTTGTATTATTTTATTTGGACTTTAGTATTCTCTCTCTGCCATTTTTTGGGAAAGCAAATGAATGGGCTATTCCTTTCATTTTTTACTATATGAATGAAATTGATTGAGAAATACATTTACCAGTGCTGCTTGAAATGGTGGGAAGAGCTTATTTGACGTTGTTTTTAGGTGTAGAATGTCCCCTGATTTCAGTGTTTCCCACTATAAAATTAACCTACTAGGAAAAGATTGACACCATCCACAGATTGATTTTTATGTTCCTTAAAATATGCTGAGGTGATTTAGACTAGGATTTCTCAAACATTTTAGTCTCAAAACCACCCCCCTTTCTACTTCAAAAAAATTTTTTGAAGACTTCTGTGAGCTTTTGTTAATATAGGTTAATTATTAATATTTACCATACTGGGAATTAAAACACACCCCAAATATATATTAAATACATATCTTTAACAAACCAATAAACTCATGTTAACATAAACAGCACGTTTAAAATGAAAAATAACTTTTCTAAAACAAAAAAATAATTTAATGAGAAGTATGGCATTAATTTATACTTTTGCAAATCTCTGTAATGTCTGGCTTAATAAACGCTGGAATTTCATATTCTGCATTTCATCTTTTACTATATACTGTTTTGGTTGAAGTAAATGAAGAAAGTCCTGTTTGCCCGGCTGGGCATGGCTCAGCGGTTAAGCGTCGACCTAGGATCCAGGCAATCGGGGTTCGAATCCCGGTCAGGGCACATGCCTGGGTTGTGGGCTGCAGCCGATCAATGACTCTCATCATTGATGTTTCTATCTCTCTCTCTCCCTCTCCTTTCCTCTCTCTGAAACCAATAAAGATATATTAAAAAAGAAAAGAAAAGAAAGTCCTGTTTAACACACATATGTTGTTGGAAAAGAGAGGAGGAATATATTGCCTTTTCAGATAATTGTGGATATTCTTCTCTTTTTAAAAAAAATTGTTGGCACTATTACAGATGTCCCCCATTTTCCCCTTCTTTGCCTATCACCACCCAGCACTTCCCCTCCCTCCCCTCAGCCTTCTCCACACTGTTGTTTGTGTCTATGGGCTATGTATATCTGTTCTTTGGCTACTCCCTTTACCTTCTTTTATCCAGTACCCCCCCAGCCCTTCCTCTCTGATATCTGTCAGTCTAGTCTTTTCCATGTATCCATGCCTCTGGTTTTGTTTTGTTCACTAGATTCTACATATAAGTGCGATCATATGGTATTTGTCTTTCTCTGACTGGTTTATTTCACTTAGCATAATAATCTCTAGGTCCATCCATGCTGTCACAAAGGGTAAGGTTTCCTTTTTTTTTAGGGCTGAGTAGTAGTCCATTGCGTAAATGTAACACAACTTTTTTTTTTTACCCTCACTGGAGGATATTTTTTTCCATTGATTTTCAGAGAGAGAGAATGGAAGAGAAGGGGGGAGAGAGAGGGAGGAGGAGGGAGGCAGGGAGGGAAGGGGGTAGGGAGAAACATCGATGTGAGAGAGACGTATCAATTGGTTGCTTCCCATACACGCCCTGACTGGCCAGGATGGAGCCTGCAACCCAGGTATGTGCCCTTAATTGGAATTGAACCCAAGACCCTTCAGTCCACAAGCGGACAATCTAACCACTGAGCCAAACTGACTAGGGCCACCACAGCTTTTTTATCCTCTCATCTACTGATGGGCCCTTGGGCTGTTTCCAGATCTTAGCTTTTGTAAATTGTGTTGCTTTGAACATAGGAATGGACTCTTTCTGATTGGCGTTTTGGGATTCTTAAGATATATTCCCAGAAGTGGGATCACTGGGTCAAAAGGCAGCTCCATTTTTAATGTTTTGAGGAAATTCTGTTTTCCACAGTGACTGCACCAGTCTGCATTCCCACCAACAGTGCATGATGTCTTTTCTCCACATCCTTGTCTGTACTTGTTTGTTGATTTTTTGGCCGTAGCCATTCTGTCAGGTGTGAGGTGATACCTCATTGTAGTTTTAATTTGCAACTCTCTAATGATTAGTGATGTTGAGTATTTTTTCGTATGTCGCTTAGCTGTCTGTATGTCCTCTTTGGAGAAATGTCTTTTCAGGTCCATTGCCTATTTTTTAATTGGATTGTTTGCCCTCCTGGTGTTGAGTTGTATAAGTTCTTTATGTTTTTGGAAATTAACCTCTTATCAGTTGTATCATTGGCAAATATGCCCTCCTATACAGTGGGTTCCCCTTTTATTTTGTTACGGTTTCTTTTGCTGTGCAGAAGCTTTTTATTTTGATGTAGTCCCATTTGTTTACTTTTTCCTTTGTTTCCCTTGCCCTGGGAGATATATCAGCAAAAATACTGCTACACTAGATGTGTGAGATTTTACTGCCTACTTTTTCTTCTATGATTTTTATGATTTTGCAACTTTTATCCATTTTGAGTTTATTCTTGTGTATGGTGTAAGTTGGTGGTTCCAGTTTCATTTTTTTGCATGTCCTGTCCAATATTTTCAGCACCAATTTTTGAAGAGACTGTTTTTACTCTATTGTATGCTCTTTCCTCCTTTGTCAATATTAATTGATCATAAAGGCATGGGTTTATTTCTGGGCTCTCTGTTCTGTTCCATTGATCTGTATGCCTGTTCTTGTGTCAGTACCAGGGTGTTTTGATTACAATGGCTTTGTAGTGTAGTTTGATATTTGGTATTGTGATCTCTCCAACTTTGTTCTTCTTTCTGAATATAACTTAGGCTCTTTGGGCTCTTTTGTGGTTCCATATAAATTTTTGGAGTATTTCTTCTAGATCTGTGAAATATGCCATTGATATTTTAAAAGCAATCTGTAGATTGCTTTGGGTAGTGTGGGCATTTTAATGATGTTAATTCTTCCAGCCCTTAACCATGGTATATGCTTCCACTTATTTGTATCTTCCTCAGTTTCTTCAATATCCTATAGTTTTCCAAGTATAGATCTTTTACCTCCTTGGTTACATTTATTCCTAGGTACCTTGTTTTTTTTGTTGCAATGGTAAATGAGATTGTTTACTTAGTTTCTCTTTCTGATAGTTCATTATTGTTGTATAAAAATTCCACCAGTTTCTGGATATTAATTTTGTATCCTGCTACTTTGCCAGATTCACTTATTAGAGCTAGTAGTTTTTTGGTGGAGTCTTTACAATGCCATCATTTTTTGATACTTCACCAAAACTCAACAAGTGATAGTTTCTTAAAGGTTAATTACAATGTGCAGTCTTTGAATATATCAGTTGATTTTTTTTTGTATTCTGTTACATTAAAATTCCTTGGTTTATCTTGCACTTCCAATGGCTCTTTCACCAGTTCATGATTTTGTAATTTTAACATCATTCGTTATTTGGAAAATCTTGATTTATTGAGTTGTATAGATCTCCCAAATATTGATATATCTCATGAGATATCAAGAAATCATATTCAGCTGTGGCCGGTGTCACTAGGTTGGGTGTCATCCAGTCCAACAAAGGTTGCCAGTTCAATTCCTGTTCAAGGCACCTGCCTGGGTTGCTGGCTTCATCCCTGGTAGGGGGACCTGCAGGAGGCAGCTGATTGATGTTTTGCTCTCACATCAATGTTTCTCTCTCTCCCTCTCCCTTCCTCTCTCTCTAAACAAATCAATAAAAATTTTTTTAAAAAAAAGTCACCTTCGGCCCTGGCTGGTGTGACTCAGTTGGTTGAGTGTCGTCTCGTGCACCAAAAGGTTGCTGGTTTGATTCCGGTCAGGGCACATACCCAAGTTGCAGGTTCAATCCCTGGTTGAGGTTTTTCTCTCACTTGATGTTTCTCCCCCTATCTCTTCCTCTCCCTTCTTCTTTCTGTAAAAAATAATAAAAACATATTTTAAAGAAATCACATTAATTGATATCACCACCAGTATCATCTAAGTACTGTATGGATAAGCTGGTAAGCTTATAGAATCAAATACAAATTTTCTAAAGTTCATATTGTAAGTTTAATACTTAAAGTCTATCATTGACAATAAATACTGTCAGTTATTTTCATTGAAAGGACAAGTTTTCTTTTTTGTATTTAAGGATTTTTCTTTTTTGTATGAGAAATGTCTCTCAAATACCCTAGTATAATAACTTTAATTTGTCAGTTGTTCTTTTAAGTAAAAATATGGTGTTCCATTATAAATGCGCAAGTTGAGCTCACAACTCAAGTTATTTAAGTGTTTTTTTCACTTAGGACAGTCTTGATGTAATGGACATACTTTGTGTGTGCTTTCTATATAATTTCACAGAATATTAGAGTAGCATGTACTCGGGAAGAGATTTAATAAAATTGGTAGTTTTAAAGGCTTCATAAAAGACATTCTTTAGTGAGACTGACTTTTTATTCTTGAGTGTGTGTTGATGAAGAATAGGTACTATACTAATACATGCCTTGGCTTAATGTTAAGGTATCAGTAGCTTCATCTCCATGAAAATTTGAACCATCAGGGCAAATCTTAATATAGTCAAAAAGGCAAGTTATTCAGAATTGTTGTTGGATCAGTATAAATTATTTTCAGATGTTTGTCACCCCTAGAACATTCTTCACATTTAAATATATTTTTTTTGTTTTGAGATTTGGATTTTTCATTTTGTTTATAGTTTGATGTCCTTTGATGATGTATTTTATAGGAGAACCTGTTAACAATTAATATCATTAAAATGCTGCCCCCCCCCCAAGAAACCTGAAAACAAAACAAAACATTTAACCAACACCTCTCAATGCTGATGCTGAACTCTGCCTACACGAAGCAGGTTGCAGAAATTGGGTTCTAGTTTTTAAATGACAATAGGTGATTATATCCTCTTTTGGTATAGGCAAAAGTGATTTATAGCCACCTATATAACTGTACACTTAAATATTACCTTGTTTTAGATATTTTATATTAAAAAGCATTAAGAAAGTATTTATAAAATTGATGAAGACAAAAAATTAATATGATATTTACAAAGAAATGAAATACCATAATTCTTGATTTTTTTCTTCCTTCCTTTTTAGGCTTCTCATTTCTTTTGGGGATTGTGGGCTTTGATTCAAGCCAAATATTCCACTATTGAATTTGATTTCCTTGGGTAAGTTTAATTTTACTGTATGCAGTATATTTTTCTCTACTTTCTTTTGAATTAGCATTTAGAACTCATAGGAGACATTGTTATTATTTTATCAGTCAAATGTTATAAAGGTTACTATGTACATTTAATAATTGATCTGAGAGGAAATTTGGTTTAACCTGTAAACTGAGCTTAATATTAAAAAGGTGTCCAGTAGGTGGTGCAATTAACTAAAAATATGTTCTTTGAAAAATCTTGAAAGTTAAACACATTTAGTCTAGAGGGGTGAGTGGAAGTAAAGGGAGAATTAAATGTTCAGCTTTGACTCATTCTGTTATTTTCTTTCCTCACTAGGTATGCAGTTGTTCGTTTTAACCAGTACTTTAAAATGAAGCCTGAGGTTACTGCATTAAAAATGCCTGAGTAAAGATGTAATTTTTCCCAAGTAGTTGAACAATGCTTGTGAATCTTTTCTTAAGAAACTCCGGAAAGCCAATTATCTGTTATTTAATTTGGTTATTTTGCTTTACGAATTATGCCTCTATCAACCAATTCGTTTTTTAAATAGACTGAATGATGTAAAAAATATACCTACTGCTGTCAGTATGCGGTAGATTAGAAATTTGTTAAATCTGCAAAAAGGTATAAAGATGTCAGTTTAATCTTTTCTTTGATAATTTAATCTGTTATATGTGAATTATTTATTATAAATGTAACACAATTCTGTGACAGCTTTCATCTAGTTCATCTGTTAAGTGTCAGCAATGAAAATGTTCCAGAGGAAAAAATTTTTTTTACTTTATTAAGATTAATTTTAGTTAGATGTTCTAGGGTCATTGTAACTTTTTAATCTTGATGCACTGTAAGTAAAATGGATCATTTACTCTTGAAATGCCAGACACTGGTATAGATAACTTAGGGTGTTGGTTGAAAAATACCTGCTTAGAAAGGTGAATGAAACACATTCACTATCTATGGTAGTGGTATATCGTTTTGAATTGAATATTGGAAACTTTCTTTGGGGGGAATGTACCTTAGAATTTAATTCTCCTACATAGTCTGGCAGTATAAATATTAATATTTACTGTATAATCCTAGAATAGATGTGATGATTTTGTGTTACCAAAATCTGCATTCAGTAATGTTCTCATATTCTAAATGTGGTCATTTAAGTTACTAGTTTGTTTTTAAGATTTTAGTGTATCAAATTGTTTCTAACCAAACGTTTTGTTTTACTTATTGAGATATTCTGTGTATTTGTTATTAAATAATAGCTAGTAGAACAATTGCTAATTTTAGAAACAAAGATAGAATGTTTATCATTCTTGGGAACAAGAAAATGTCATTTAGATGAATTCTGGTTTACCCGTGTAGATTTATTTTTTACATTTTTGTTTCATGTTTTAGTTTGACTCCATGTCTTTGGAATGATAGCAAATGATTGCTTGATACATGTAGGTGCAGAGAAGTAAGTTGAGGCGGTTAAAAGAAATAAGGAACATTTAAGGCATTGATCTTGTACACTTAAAAACTGATATAACAAAATGTGAATTAAGCAGAAATACTCCTGGTAGGAAGGATTCTGTTAGTTTTTATTTCTCTTTATTTTGTTTGTGTATTTTTTATTTTGTTTTGGAGTGAGAGAATGGTAATTATTATGTGGACGGAAGTTAGATCTTTGGGACAAGTAGGCTTCGAGTTTTGAAGATTGCTGTGTGGAGTTGAGTAGTCATGGTTGTCTTTGCTTAGCAAGTTAGTCTGACAAGCTTTCACTTTGGTCACATAAGTGCCCGTGTACAAAGTTGGCTTAATGGATCTGCATATTCAGAATATGCAACTACAAATTTATCCTCTGAGAAATCTTCTGGGGAGTCTGATGTGTTATTCCAAATGACTGGTATTCTCAGATAAGTGCTTTAAAATACTTGGGTTACCTCAAGATGTTTAAAGGTAATCAAGTAGAAACACTTAAAGGCCATTTTAAATGGTAAATTCTAGTTACATAAATAGAATCTTAAAATCTGTTTGTATCTATAACAGTGTTAGACCAAGATTTGTTTTCTACCTCCCCAATGTTACAAATGTTCACTTCTGTTTTTATACACCATTGTTGTAGAATCAGTAGAATTTTACTTAATTGACTAAATGAATGGAATCAAACAATGAATACCTTTTTATATAATGTTAGAGTGTACTTGAAAAATTGTTTTTGGTGGAATTTCCACCTGTGGTTGGAATATTTTCAACGATGAAGAATATGTAATACTAGAGTTTTTTGCTTTCTGACTTCTTAAAGTGCAACAGTATATGTCTACAATGGAGGAGAGGAGATCATTTTTCTGCCGTACTCCACATTCTTGGAACTATTTTGAATAGAGATTCACTGAGCCATTGCTGGTAGACTGTGCATACTAGCTGTGACACTATAATAAGCATTTCAGAAAGATTCATATGGAAGTGAATGTAAAGGGGGAGTAACAGGCTTTCACTTGATCCCCAGGAGTAGCCAGTGGGTCTTGAGAACATAATCAGATACTTAAGGTATTTCCTTCACTTTTTGGTTAGATTTTTGGATGTTGTGATGCTCCCACTTCTGTACGGTTTTTTTTTTTTTATCATGCTGCAGGCTATTAATAGGGTTCAAAATTGTTTCCCTTTTTGTTGACAATTTAAGAGATTCTAAAGGAAAAACATCTCTCTTAAATTTATCCTGTGGCTTCTTGAGATGTCTGTTGCCTTTTTATGTTAAGCTAAGGGACTTGAATGCCTTACCTAATAACTCAACTTGTAAGCTCACTTTGTAAATATGGAAATGGTTGTTAGAGAAGTGGCATTCATGTGTACTCATTGTTAGTTAATCGACCATAGTGGCCTGGATGCTTTAACAAGCAAAATTCTACAATTTTTCCCTCTTTGTTCTTTACATACTTGTTAGATCTTACCTGACCAGTAATATTTGGGTCGA